TACCACAATAAATCCCCCAGCAAGAAATCTCCTGCTCTGTATCAATGTCTCTGCTTGCTCTCTGATAGCCAGTTCTGATATTAGTTTATTTTATATTCCATAGCACACAGATCACAATCCAGTGGCATATTTCCAGTGGTTTGGTCCGTAAACCAAGTTAAAGGGAGGGGTTGATGCCTCTATGGAGCTCTTACTTTCCAAAGACACTTCTACCTTCTAACTTTCAAGACAGCACAAGATGCACTCTGTATATGTGCACACATCATTTCTCCTCTCAACTTAGACACCTTGCTTTAAGAGATAAAAATCTAGACTGAGAGATGTTGGAGAATTTGTAAGTAATTTGAGTGTAATGGCTTCAGTCAGGCTAAAGGCCTGGTGATTATGAATTTGTTCCCCTCCGCTTCTCTAACTGGTAGGAAGTTAATAAATCAGATCATGTGGCTGTGTGAAGGTTGAAGGGGGGCGAGCAAGAGAAACACAGTTATCTTGCTTCAAGGGAGCTTCTTATGCCTAAGCATTCAGATAGTCTTCTGGATATTCTGGAGTTTTGAATGTCTAAGGGCTTGTTCACACCAGTGCAGATGCAGAGCAGTTACAGAACGCATCAAAAATGCATCCAATGTATTCCAATGGTATTTTGGGCTCTAGTTCACAACACAGTGTTCAGTTTCAGAGCATGTGGAAAAACTGCAGCATGCCCTATTTTTTCTGCTCTGGAACGCACCAAAACTGCATGCAAACGCCCTGGAACGCACTGAAATTTTAGGCTGATATATATATATATATATATCCCAGAACGTGGCAAAAATGTGGCAAAACGCACTGCATATGCAGAAACTCATGCAGATCTGGTCCAGATTTGGTGTGTACAAGCCCTTAAGGGGTTATCTAATTGGGTTTGACTGGTATTAATGAGGGGTATGTCAAATGTTAAGCTGGGTATACGCGGTTAGAATTTAATTTGAAAACTATTGTTTTCAGAACGTTCGACCTTCTAACAGTAAATGGGGTCAAATTCACATGATTTTTAACTGTCTAAAAAAAAAATTGAAGGAGCAGGATGGAAAATATTTCTCGACTCAACAAAATTCTAACCGGAAATGTGCTTTTTCATGTTAAAATCAAATGGAACTTTGAACGAAGTTTGTCAAGTGTCAAATAGTATTATCAAAGGTGTTATCAAATCGGCAATTCTGTCTGTGTATACCCAGCTTTAATCAGCTTCTTTGCAATAATGCTCATGATGGGATGAATATTTGTGAAAAGATGTCCCTTTTCCTCTTTACTGTTAAAGTGAGAAGTAGTTATGTTCATTAAACTTGATCTATATTTTCACCACACAAGATGATGGTCCAGGTTCTACTACAACACTACTTTATCCAAAACAAAAATAATTTTTGGCTTTTGATTTGTTAACCCCGTCATGGGTCCTTAAGGGGTTAAACAGGCTCCCAGCAGCTAAAAGCTTGAAACTATGTTCATATTTGTTGAGCCAGCGGCCGGCTTTACAGTAGAAGTGATTCTTGGAACTGTTGCCGGATCGCTTCTATGGGCTGGTAAAGTGGTCGCCCGACACCCCCGCCGTGTTTCCCGAGCTCTGCTGCCCCTCCTGCAGGCCCCGGACTGGCATGTAGGGTGAGGCGTTCAACTAACTTCCGTTCACCAAGCTGCTTCCCTTTCTTTGGGACCAGGAGCAATGAGTATTGCATCACTTATGGTCCCATAGCTGTCAGTTTTGGGCTCCTGAAGCCTAGCAATAAGCTATTGATGTGCGATCTGCACTTCAATGGCATATTTCCAGTGGAAAGGTGATACTGGGGGGTCTTTGGACCCCCCAGTATCACCTTAGAGGACCTGTCGCTGCCGTTATGCTATCACATGGGGGGGGCTTGTAAGCCCCCCATGTGATAGCAATTAAAGTAAAGTTTAAAAAAATGTAAAAAAGAAAAATGTTTAAGTCCTCTGCCGCTGCAAGCACGCACATCTTCACGTAAACGCACGTTGGGAGCACCTACGTATGAAAACGACGATTGCGTTACACATGTTGGGTATCACTGCGCACACCAGGACGAGAGCAATAATTCTAGGACCAATATTTACGCATATCTCTGAACTGATGACTGGTAGGGGCTTTTACAGCGTCGTCTATCGACTTTTTTGGTTACTGAAATTTGTTGCAGTTTCACGGACGCACACAGTTTTTAACCTGGGCATGTTGGGTATCCATTTAGTCTTTGTAACCTCATCTTTTATATTTTACAAACATATGGTTTTATATTGTGTTTTGGGGCACTAAGTTTAGCATAAGTGCATTTTTCACTAAATTTTTGGGTTTGATAATAAGTTGCGCTATTGTCGTGCAACATAAACATTTGCAGCTGCCGCCACTTTATTCTTCAGGGTCTTGGCTTTCTGAAAATATATTCTGTTTAGGGGTTTGAAGTAAAATGTTGATTTTATAACATGCAAGCAAAAAACGGGGGAAAAAGGCCTTGGTCCTTAAGGGGTTAAAGCCCAACTTTAGACTCCGATCCACCCCTTCCAGCCCTCTTTTCTCCAGGTTTCTTCAGTCCAGTCCTGTAATGTTGCAAGCTCTCTTCACCCTGTTCTACCCCCTGCGGTTGGCAGATCCTAAATGCTGCAGACAGTGGGGGCTCTCCAGCATTCTCCTGTGAGTCTGGGGCAGGAGCTGAAGCTGGAAAGCCCTAGGCTTACAGGAGGTGGGATGAATGGCTCTGGGCGTCATTCAGAAAAGAAACTGTGTGTGTGTGCGCTTTTTGTTTTTTCACATTGGCTTTGCTTGGGTTTAAGCACCTTCTGGTACATTTACATGTGTTTATGGCATGTTCTGATGCAGAAAAAAAGCATGCTGCTGTACTTCTTCTTTTTTTTTTTTTTAATGCACTGGAACTGCACGCAATGGTGTGAACTAGCCCCATTTAACCCTTTTGCTGCCACTGACGTTTATCCTACGCCGCTGGCAGCAGGCCCATTTAATCAGAGCTGTCAGGACTCTGTTTACATGTGTAAAGCTGACTCCGCTTTACACTGGAAGCAATCTGGCACACTGGAATCCATTCTGGCAGCTCTGCTGCCCCACCTCATCTTTTAAATATTGCAAAAAAATTGGCTATTGTTGTTTTGAGCAGTAAAATTAACTTTTTTTTGTGCATTTTTTAAATAAAATGTTTGGGTTTGATAAGGAGTTGCGCTAATATTGTGCTATGTAAAAAAATTACAGCTGCCACCATTTATTGTACAGGGTCTTTGCTTTTAGAAAATATATAGATGGGAATTTATCAAAACTGGAGCAGACAAAATCTGGCGCTGTTGCCCCGGGCAACCAATCAGATTGTCTCTTCCGTTCAGTTAAGATTTTTAAATGAAAGAAGCTGATTGGTTGCCGTGTACAGCTGCTCCAGATTTTGCCTACTCCAGTTTTGATAAATTCCCATGATAATGTTTGGGGGGTTTTTAAGGCCTAAAATGTGGATTATAACGTGTGCAAAAAGGCCTCGGCAGTGAAAGGGTAAAAACCATTGGAATTACTGTGTGTGTTTAGTTAAAACATCCAGTGCAGCCCAAATACATTGGATGTGATTGAGTCATGAGAAAAGTCTTGGGGTTTCCCTTGCCTTAACTTGAATATTCCACAATTTTGCATCACAGACCTGGAACAAGCATGATGTAAATTTAGTGTCACAATTTACTTTTTCCATGTCAGAGACTCCGAACACTTTGAAACCAACGCATCAATATGACAGCCAGGGAATTAACATTCGCAAAGGGGAGGTCAACAATGGCAGCCCACATACTTTACTGAGTCACTTTAAGAAAATTGTAGTGCATCCAGCAATTGTTTTAGAAGGTCTAGTGATGAGGTTGATTTCTTGCACTCTTGGGTCTGTGTGATTACCCGAAATGCTTTAACATCCATAAAAGTAGATCTTCAGTCTAAACTACAGGTAGTCAATTCTCCAAATGATCTTGTGCCTAATTTCCATGGGATCCCTTTCTTACCCATTCATCTGGTAGTAGGATCAGTCATGTTTCTTACCGCCTTGGTCCAGGAGACACGGCCTGCAGTCAGTCAGAGCCACTCTGGCAGAGCACTTTAATTGGCCAGTGATCACATGACAAAGCAAGGTACCAGATGTGCCTTCTCTGTCTGTCTCTCTCTGCTGCTGCTTTGGCACATAGCAGACGCTGATAGAGCAGTGCAATAATCAGAGTTGTGTAGGTAGAAAAATGTTGTGGGTCCAGTTCTTATAGGACAGTGGTCTCCTGAGCATGCTTACCAAATGGAATGACCAGGGAAAGTGACATGCATGATGTAGTATAGAAGGTCCAATTTTAAAACAATACTGATCTGTGGGTGTGTCTTACAAGCAAGGCAGACCGCTTCTTGTGATGGCTCTGCAGTTTTTGGAATTAACCCATGAGCTTTAGCAGCTAATTGTGAACATATATTGACTTTCTTTTATGGTCTTGGTTAGGGTTGAGCCACTCAAAATATTAGTGGTGTGCTGATCAATAGGTAGAGGTTTTACTATGTAGGAGACACAGAATACACTGCAATTTGTTGCACCCACTAGCAGTATAGTGGTGTGGCCAAAGGAGGGAGTTTGTGAAAGTGGCTTGAAGGAAGAGGGGCACGATCAAGTCCTTCAGCTTGCAAAGGAAATCAGTTTAGCTTCAGCACTGTTTTGGGCTCTTCTAAAGTACACTTGTCAAGAAAGAAATATGCCCTCATTTTCAAAATTCAAGATCCCTGATGGGGCCTGGCCCCCAGCCTGTCTGTAGCGCCGACCCTGGCCCCGCATATAACAGAACTTTTTCTTTCATGCCAGTCACTCAAACATATTAAAACCAAACCAACTTAAAAGCCAGGTCATTTTGAATTTTTTAAAACGGCAGGTTGATAGTATCTCATTATAGGTGTACTTGATACTTGTAAGATGTCAAGGGATCTTTAACCTTTTTTCCCCCTTCTCTAGATGGTGGTTAAAACCTTTATGGACATGGACCAGGATTCAGAAGATGAAAAGCAGCAATATCTTCCTTTAGCCTTGCACCTTTCATGTGAATTCTTCCTCAGGAATCCTAACAAAGATGTTCGCCTGCTAGTAGCATGCTGTTTGGCAGATATCTTCAGAATATATGCACCAGAAGCACCCTACACATCTCATGACAAATTAAAGGTACAGTCTATTCATGTATTAGGAACTTCAGATATGTGTTGTATGCAATACAAATAGTGGTATTTTGTTCTATTCTTTCTGCCAGTCTTGTCTTATTTTCATTGCTAAATTCTATAAAAGATAGACTTAAAGGAGAACTATGAGGTGATTGATTTTCACTCGTCTCATAGTACTAGCCGACCTGTGACAATGAGACTGTCACAGGTCGGCTCAGTAGATCGGGAAGTGAGCGAACACATACGGCGTTCGCTCACTTCTCGATCCTGTCCCGGCTCTCTGCCGTGACAGGGGAGGGGCTGGATTCCCCTCTCCGTTCCTCCAGTGCTAACTGGCGGAACGGACGGGGGAGGGGCGGGTACAGGTGGCTCTGCCTCTAGATAGGCAGAGCCAGCTGTTACTCCCGCAGCTGGGCGGATCCAGACATAGTTGTCGGGATCCGCTTCAGCTGCGGCGTCTCAGTATACCGCTCGCGGTATACTGAGCTTAGGGTGATGGGAGGACGCTAGTTTGTGTCCTCCCGTTAGCCTAAGGAGAACTATGGGTGAAAGCCCTAACCCCATAGTTCTTCTTTGATATAAATCATTGGTAGGGGACCTTGGCACCCTGTGGATCAAGGTAGCATCTTATATGCCATGTGCATGCCTTGCATGAGAAAGGTATGGTTTCCCATTGGTTCATATATTCAGAATAACTTGTACTACTACTTGTAATACTCTGTTTCTATATCTGTTTTTAAAATGCCAGCCACTCATATAAAGTCATACAGTGTTTCTAAAATGTGCTTCTAAAATAATTTTATTTCTCCCTTTCTTTTGCTTAGGACATATTCTTGTTTATTACAAGACAACTGAAAGGTCTGGAAGACACAAAAAGTCCCCAGTTCAATAGATATTTTTACCTGTTAGAGGTATCTGATTTCGTTTTTGTTTTTTTACCTTTGTGTGTTTAGTCACAGTATCCGTAATACTCTTACAAAATAGTATATGTATTTATGTAAATATGTTAATGCACATTTTGAAGTGACACTAAACTCAGGCGTTAAATCTTACAAATGCATTCAAGTACCTTATTAACAAAAATGTACATTATTTGTGTATCACTCGGCTATAGATCCTCAAATCATCTCTGAATTGGTGCTTCCTTCTGGAGGGTGGTTACTTTATTTCCCCATGGTCCCTGTGTGTTGTAAAGTTGCCACCGCTCCAAGATCACTCCTTTGATGTACTACAATCTCACGTTAAGTTTACTAATTTGTATTGCGATTTGTAGTCCATTATGGCTGTAAGCTTGGAGCAGTGACTACTTTACAACACACACAGGGACCATGGGGAACAAAAGTAGCCACCCTCCAGAAGGAAGGACAGTGTCAGCACCAATTCAGAAATGATTTGAGGATCTACAGCCAAGTGATACAAAAAAAGGTAGAGTTTTGTTAATAAGGTACTTGAATGTATTTTTAAGATTTAACTCCTGAGTTTAGTGTCACTTTAGGAATGCACTTTCCCCTGTGCTTCCATTATTCCATAAAGTGTAAGAAAAATTGCGTAATTTCTTTCTTGGTAGTTTGACCGCTTCTGTATAAAAAGCTTTGATTTTTTTTACTTTTTGCTCATGGCGTATATCAAGAGTGGAAAAATCCTAGTTGCTTTGGTAATCCAGAAATGGTCTTTGTGCCTAATAGATTCCCCCAGGAAAGCTGTATTCTTTCCACAATTGTAACCTCTGTGTTAATACAGTTATGTGATTCGAACGTTTCCTACTTCCGCTCCACAGGGCCCCCTGCTGCCTCTTCCCCAAATATACAAGCAGAAACTTTGTCCCCCTCTGCCTTCCTGACTCTCCAACTCGCAAGGCATGTTACTATAGAACAGTTTCTTATCCTGTTAATTCAATCTGCTTGTTTAAAGTGAAACTCCAGCCAAAAACAAAAACTTTTCTATTTTGAGGTATAATAGGTAAGGGTGTCTGTCCAGGAGATAGAACAGAATTTGAAGATAACTCAAAGTACGCAAAAAAATTCTGCCTTTGTCACTAGAACAGATGTCCCACAGTTGTGATCTATACTGTATATCTTAACATTAGTTACTTATTTTGTTTTTAAGGACTTGCCATGTAACATTCCCCTTTTTTTTTATTGATTTGCTGTTGCATTAAGGTGAAAAAAACCCAATATGCTGACATTCACCAATCTTTCTCCTTTAGAAATGTGTGATTATTGTAACATTTATTCTATTCATAATTAGATGAATGTTATATACACCACACTTTCACCAGCCATACTTTGATGTTTGCTTTTAACTGAAATGGCAAATGATTGCATTTTCTACAATGCGCACTCAAACTCCAGATGTTGACCTATTTTCTTTAGTGCTTTCTCTTTGCTTGGGAACAGATATAGTGATTGGGTGTGGGGTATTTTTTTTTTTTTGCGTGTAAGGTGGGACTTGACTTAAGCCAGGTATACACTCTTCGAATTTCAAATCTGTTGCGTGAGTGCGTGCTCAGGGGTGTGGAATTCCTATTGCCCGACGCCCAGGACATGGAGTTCTTTGCTCTGCTCTGTGTGATCACTGAAACCGGAGCGCTGTGATCACAGTGCCGCCTGTCTCAGTTGTCAGGAACTGCACAGAACATCTGTGTTGGAGGGCAGGTTCCATAAAAGGAATCTGTCACCTCCAAACTATCACATAGGAGCTTTTAAGTGGCATGTCATTACCCGCTGCCCGGCTTTCTGATTGTCCAGGAAGCTGGCTCCATGCCAACGAAAGCACTGTATCGGCGAGTACCGAAAGCAAAATATTGGTACTCGTGCATCCTTAGTTTTGATTAAAACTCTTTTTTTGTATTGGGAGAAGTAGAATGGGCCCCTGCTTTAGCCCTTGGACAAGTAGTTTAAAAAAAAAAAAAATATATTTCCACACCCCTGGTGGTGCTGTCGTCACCTTTCCAACCGGCATCCCTAAATCAGGTGATTGAAGGAAAATTGTTGGCTGAACAGATCTTGCAGCCATCGCGCTGCCAGCTCTGTTCATGTACTCTGACAGCGGCCATTGACCCCTGTCAAATACAAAGGAAACGGCAGGAGATTCCTCGGTCAACGCTCATAAGTGTTGATGGAGGAATCTGTTCTGATGGAGGAATCTGTTCCATCTCCTTTGTTTAGCCGGTAGGTTGAACAATGAAAATAGAAGAGTGTATACCAGACTTTAGTCTGAAAAGGGGCAAGGTCATTTGTCTCAAGTGATTAAGTGGTAGAGGAATTGAGGTTGGCAGAACGTTTGCTGTGTGGAAGACAGTCCATGCTGCTGGTGTAAAAGAGTGGCCTCAGGACGCTTCGATACACCTCTGTCTCATCCTGTGGTCTTTGAGTCTTTTTTTTAAAGCATTCGGTAGAAAATGTATTGTGTATATAGAAGTTGGAAACTCCTTCTCTGTGGCCTGGTGCTGTATGCTGATTAGGTGTTTGGTGGACTTTTTGGAGAGTTCAGGACTTTTTCAGTATTGTATAGCTCTGACAGCGGGAACATGCAGCTTGGAGCTACTTAATGTGAGACGCCTTTTTTCATCGCAGCATCCTGGACCTGCTTTCTGTGTTCTTTATAAACACTAAACCCCTTGGTCTCTATAATTGTCTCTGATACACTTGCCTTATGACTTGTTAAGTGTTCTGGGTGTCCAATGTAATGTGACTGGATCAAATTGTTTGTAAGGAGAAAAGGTGTGTGGGGAAATGTTACTGCCTTACTTGCCATTGACTAAATACGATTTTGTTTTCTTCTTCTTTTAGAATTTAGCCTGGGTCAAATCCTACAACATTTGTTTTGAATTGGAGGATTGCAATGAAATATTTATTCAACTCTTTAGGACTCTGTTTTCTGTTATCAAGTAAGTTATAACCTTTGTTATTTACTTGCTTGTGGCTCTCCTGTTTTATTCTCTGCTTCTCTAGAGAGATGTATATCTCTTTATATCTGCATACAGTTTTTATAGTTACCTGCAAAAGGTGCTCTGAAATCAGCTTCACTTATGGCATGGGTAGACAAATACAGCGCCAGTTTTCATTTGTTAAGGAGCATTGGCTACCTGGCTCCAAAAATGTTGTCCAGCCCTGACTTGGGCTACATACCAATAGAAGTGGAAAAACTGGTGGTATTAGTAAATTGATGACCGTTTTTCAGCACAATCTGATTTTTGCAGCATCATTCAGTGCAACAATGCTTGGAGCTCCTGCTGTTCATCCTGCAATGCAGTGCCTAGTCCAAGTGGGACAGATTGGACAGCAGGTCTAGGCTTTGTCATGTGAGGGGTGGCGGTGCCAGTGCTGCCCAATCTATTTTAAAAGACAACTTTTACTAAAGTTACTAATTACATTTCTATGTTGGCAGGCTTCAGAACATGCTTGACATCTTATGTTATAGCTTACTGCTGATACTATTTATACTTTTTATGAACGGGCTCTTTTGATTTTGTCTTTTAATATCCATTTGCTTATAAGCTGATACTGATTGGCCTCTATGCTGTGTACCACTTTATCCCACTTCCTTTTTTGTTCATTCACAATGTTTTTGATCCTGTAGTAACAGCCACAACCAGAAAGTTCAGATGCACATGTTGGATTTAATGAGTTCAATAACCATGGAGGGAGATGGCGTTACACAAGAATTGCTGGATTCTATCCTCATTAATCTCATCCCTGCTCATAAGGTCAGCACTTTTCATCTGTTATAGAATTAAATGGAGCAGCTTAGAATGTGAATTTATAATATGTAAAAATCTGTGCTAACTTTGGGTTACATTTGTTCAGTGGCACGTAAATTGTCTTGTTTGTACTTCTCTGCTCTTGAGACTGTTTGATGGTTTTACCTTTGCAGTGCAAACATGTGTTTCCTTGCTTAGAAAGAAAGTGATGACTCTTCCATGTCATCTCAAATTAAAAGTAATCTATTAAAAATAAGCCCTTTAGAAGAAATGGAATGGGTTCCTATTTCTAGCAGTGGGTAGACATCTAGTACAGTATTGGTTAGGGATGTGCCGAAATTTTGGCTGCCAAAAACTCCATGTATCCCTAGCTTCTCTCCTCCCCACTGGCAGCCGATCTGTGTGCCTTCCGATGCAGTGGCCAGCGCCCAGTGGGGGCGGGAGAAGCTTTCAGGAGGCTGAGCGGGCAGTGACAGCTGTCAGGATGCCAAGGTGTAGGGGGTCGTGACAGCTGTCATTGTTGCAGGAGGTGGAGCTCTCCTCCTGCACCTCCCAGCTGTGTCAGAATGGAGAGCGGTGAGTGGAGGAGAGAGCTCTGTGATCTGTGTCGGGATAGAGAGCGGTGAGTGGAGGAGAGCGCTGTGATCTGTCACAGGAGGAGGAGCTTTCCTCCCCCACAGCCCGGCCTCCTGTGAAAGCAGATTCAGGATGTAGAGTGGGTATACAGACTCTCAGCGATTGTAAATAACTGGACATGGTGTGCTTACCATGTCCCAGTTATGAAGTAAACTACATCACCTCCTGTTCATTCATGATTGTGGATATAGTGCGAGTTACTATGTCTACAGTGTATGAATGGACAACGTTTTCAATCGTCGATTTTAATTGACTAAATCGATTTAACTGTTGCAGCTCTAGCGCACAGTGTGCGGAAGTCACCAACTGTCTGCAGAGTCAATAGCTACGGACCTCCAAACTTCATGTGGCCTTCAGATTGGCACAACAACAGTGTGTAGAGAGCTTCATGGAATGGGTTTCCATGGCCGAGCAGCTGCATCCAAGCCTTACATCACCAAGTGCAATGCAAAGCGTCGGATGCAGTGGTGTAAAGCACGCCGCCACTGGACTCTAGAGAAGTGGAGACGTGTTCTCTGGATTGATGAATCACGCTTCTCTGTCTGGCAATCCGATGGACGTGGCTGGGTTTGGCAGGTGCCAGGAGAACGGTACTGGCCTGACTGCATTGTGCCAAGTGTAAAGTTTGGTGGAGGGGGGATTATGGTGTGGGGTTGTTATTTTTCAGGGGTGGTGCTTGCCCCCTTAGTTCCAGTGAAGGGAACTCTTAAGGCATCAGCACACCAAGACATTTTGGACAATTTCATGCTCCCAACTTTGTGGGAACAGTTTGGGGATGTCCCCTTCCTGTTCCAACATGACTGCGCACCAGTGCACAAAGCAAGGTCCATAAAGACATGGATGAGCGAGTTTGGGGTTGAGGAACTTTTCTGGCCTGCACAGAGTCCTGACCTCAACCCGATAGAACACCTTTGGGATGAATGAGAGCGGTGTGAGTGTGAGCCAGGCCTTCTCGTCCAACATCAGTACCTGACCTCACAAATGCTCTTCTGGAAGAATGGTCAAACATTCCCATAGACACACTCCTAAACCTTGTGGACGCCTTCCCAGAAGAGTTGAAGTTGTTATACCTGCAAAGGGTGGGCCAGCTCAATATTGAACCCTACGGACTAAGACTGGGATGCCATTAAAGTTCATGTGCGTGTAAAGGCAGTCGTCCCAATACTATTGGCAATATAGTGTATGTCTACTAGGTAACTTTTGGTGACAACCCTGCTTTTATAAAAAAAAAAAAAATTTTCTCGTCTTGACTATTGCAACTCCCTCCTCATTGGCCTTCCACTACACAGGATATCCCCCCTTCAGTCTATCATGAATGCAGCTGCTAGACTCATCCACCTAACCAACCGCTCAGTATCTGCAACCCCCCTCTGTCAATCCCTCCACTGGCTTCCACTCGCCCAGAGGATACAATTCAAAATATTAACAATCACTTATAAAGCCATCCACAACTCTGCCCCCGGATGCATCTCAGACCTTGTCTCAAAATATCACCCTAACCGTCCACTCCGCTCTTCCCAAGACCTCCTGCTTTCCAGCTCCCTAGTCAACTCCTCCCATACTCGCCTCCAGGACTTCTCTAGAGTCTCTCCCATCCTCTGGAACTCTTTACCCCAATCTGTCCGTCTATCTCCCACCTTGACTGTCTTTAGGCGTTCCCTAAAGACTCATCTCTTCAGGGAAGCCTATCCCACCTCAACATAACCACTGGACCATCACATTCTCAAATAATTCATCCCCTTGCAGCTACCTCCTCATGTATCATTTCCCCCTCCTTTTAGATTGTAAGCCCGCAGGGGCAGGGCCCTCCTTATCATCTTGTCTTGAATTGTATTGTAACTGTAATGTCTTCCTTATATTGTAAAGCGCTGCGCAAACTGTTGGCGCTATATAAATACTATGTAATAATAATAAGTTGTATATCTGTTTTTTTTCCCCCCAACAGTGTGTTTTGTGACTGTCTTGACAGAAATACGTAAATTGAGAATGCAAACGCGTGTGGAAAAAGCATTCCTAGTTTAAATGTTGCTGAGTGATAAGTCTTCAGATTAAAATTAAGAAAACATAGCCGGTGAAATGAGGAGGTTAGCAGCCAAAGACTGTTAGTGGAAAAAGTCACAGAGCAAGTCCCTTAGGCCCTATTAAAGTTTAAATTGAGGGTAAAAAATCTGCTTGGAGTAGAGAAATATCTTCAATTTATGAGAGGACTTTTGTTGGTATGGGAAGGACAAATAATGCAAAGTCACCAGCACTCCAGACATGCAATTGAGTCTCGCAGACCTATGGCCCTGTTCGTCACAAACTTGTGGGACGCAATTACAGGTCTGGAGTATTGGTGACTTTGTATACCTTGATCTGGCATTGGCATGGTGCCGTCCGATGCTTTCAATTTGAGCACCAAACCTATTTGAAGATCTAGTACCGTCAGAAATGCTGACGGTAATTTTTCGTTTTTCCCATGTCAAATACACGTACAAAATACCCCTATATCATATAGATAACACATTCAACAACTGGGTCAACATAACCCAAGATAAGATGTGATACATACATACGTTTCACGGTTTACATTTTACAAGGTTACATAGTCAAGCACAAGGAAATATAAAGTGGGACTTGGAACACATCTAGTAGTAGTTAAATGCGAGCAAAACGCATCGGGTTGCCCCGCTGTTCATATGTAAGTTTGTAAAGAGGCAGAAATGCTGATTCTTACACAAAATTAATCACGGTATGGGCAAGATGACTTCCAGTTAGCAGGAAACTCTTTATGTACAGTATAGCACATTTTGTTGGGTTTTTGTTTTGTAGCAATATTTCTCACCAAGTATGTATAAAAACATTTGTCGTTTTTTTCAGAATCTTAACAAGCAAGCATTTGACCTTGCCAAAGTACTTTTAAAGAGGACAGTTCAAACAATTGAGCCTTGTATTGCAAATGTAAGTGTACAAAACTGTTTTTATGTGCATCTTTAGGTTTGTTCTTTGCAGAAGGTTGTCATTTATTTTAAGCAGTTAACATAACTGTGTAACAGCAGCATAACACTGAACATTTAAAAACCATCACTCACTTCTGGGATTGCAATAAGTGTGTTCCCCACCCTGCAATACATCATTGATGCTATCGC